CCTATAAAATAAATCTACTATTAAGATATATATATTTAGATAGCGAGGTATACTATTCTTATATATAATTACTATTCGACTATATTTATCTACTAAATTAATTATACTAAAATATATTTCTAATACTTTCTCTCTTATAATAATTATACCTAAGCTTACCTATTTTAGATTAGGTTATATTAGCTAACCTACTATAAAGATTAACTACTATCGAATTAGTAAGGAAGTAGAAGGCGACTACTAATTTAATTACGAAGCCTACTAACTTACTAAGTAAAAGAAGATTATCTTATATATCCCTTAGAAGCGTACTACTAAATTATTTAAATTTATTTACCTTAATATTTAACTATATAAACTAATAGGAATTAACGGTATTAACTATATAGTAGTAATATATAATAATATAACTCGTAGACGTTAGTTAATTCCTATTAGGATAAAGAGCGATACTTCCGACGTTTTAACTAATTAGGTAACTTAGATCTATAACGTTACTTATTACTAGCTAATTAAAATTTATATAGATAGCGACCGAGGTTTTCTACTCTTTATTAAGTAGATTAAGATAAAGGATATCCTCGTTATAATTTTACTATCTACGATATATAAATAAAATAGTATAGCTAAATCCTTAGGTTATATTATAATTTAGGGTATAAAGACTTTAATAATTTTAGTACCTAAAGTACCCGCCTTTCTCTAGCTAGAAGCTATAATAGTAATAGTTTACGTTTTAAATCAAATTCGATAATCTAGATAAACTAAATCTCTAATAGAAAAGTAGAATAATATACTAGATCTTCGTAAGACTAGTCTAATTAACCTAGGTTTCCTATAAGTATAGTACTCTAAAGCCTATATATATATACCTAAAGAATAAAGGATATAAGATAAAAAGATAGTATCTCGCGTATAGATTAGTTATCTCGTAGGATACGAGGATAATAATAGCTATATCTATAGAATCTATAATCCTTTAAAGAAATAAGTCGTCCTTCGCTATAACGTTATATTTTAGGAGGAACCGTTACTAATACGCTATTTACTAAACTTATTAAACTACTAATTATAGAAGAGATCTATAAACCTCGCGAACGCTATTAATTAATAATTTAGAGAACTAAGGAGGACTAATTATATTTAAATATACCTAATAAAGTTATTTTAGAAGTAATAGTACTAGAGATTATAGTATATAAGGAAGTTTTACTAAATATACTAATTATTACTAGAACTAGAGAACTAAATTTAATTTAATAAAATTAGTTAATAATAATACTAAATCTAGCCGAATTACTATAACTAATAGTACTAAAATAAGTAAAATTAAAAGCTTTACTACTTTAGAAGACTATATATCTAATTATATTACTAAGGGTAAGATTATAACCTAATTCTCTATTTTAAGATTTATAATCTTCTTTCTCTAAAAATTAAAATATATTAGATATCTCTTTTATACCTAAATATCTATCTTTATAAAGAATTCTACTAGTTCCGCGATCTTAATTAGTACTAATTTAACTATATACGCTTCGAGGATTATTACTAAATACGCTAGCGAAAAGATTATTTAGAAGTATAGTAGGTTTATTAGACCTAGATATACTAATTCCTAGTATTAAGGATTTTTCCCGACTATCGTTAGTTATACTAAGTAGACTACCCGAAATACTAATTTAAATACTATATATACTAGATACTTTTCTAAGAAGTTCTTCTATACTAATCTATCGTCCTTTTATTCGAGAAGAATCTTTAATAGACCTAATTATAATTATATAACCTTCTCCTTAATAAGTAGTATAACGTTCGATTTCTTCTACGAATCTAGTTAAGTAGACTATATCTCTAGACCCTATTTAATCTACCTAATCCCTAGAACTAACTTAACTTACCTAGTAATAACCTCGAGCAAGACGGTCGGTAAGAGAAAGAAAACTAGTTAATCTAGGTCTTAGTATAGTAAGATATCCTATAAAAGGTCTAATAGTCCTAGATCCTTTAATAATTATAATTAAGTATAGTATTATTAGTAAAGGGGTAGTATATAGTATAACCGAGAGTATTTATATAATTATAGTTAAGATCCTTAATACTTATATAGAAGTAATAAGATCCGATTTTATAGATTACTAGTTATAAGCTAAAAAGGTCTAATTAGAAAAGATTATTACTTCTAATATAATAGTTCTTATTCCTTATCTACTAAAGGGTATATCTATCCTACTAGATAAGTAGGTATATAATATAAAATCTAATAATAATAATTATATTTTAGAATTTCGTGTAAGATAGATAATATATAGTAATTACTAGGTATCTAGAATTAATTTTTAATTAGATAAGAGATTTATATCTATTATTTCTAATATAGTAGCTAAATTATTTCTTATATTAGCTACTATTTAACGTTAGACCGTCGAGTAATAGGATATAGTAAGTATATACCTTAATATAGTACTTAATAATAGGATTATCTTTATAAAATAATCTACTAGTCACGAATACTATAGTCCTAATAGTATTAAGAGAGTTATACTATTATAATAAGCTTTATATAGACTTTACTAGGTAGGATATCTTTAGTATAACGTTTTTATAGAAGATTTAAGAGATCTAGGTCTTATTCTCTTAATAATAGAACTATATATTTATACTAACCACGATAAAACTATCTTTATCTTAATCTACGTAGACGATATACTCTCTATAGGAATTAATAGTAAAATATATTATATATATAAAGGTATAGTATATAAAAGGAAGCTTAAAATATTACCTTTTAAAAGATTTCTTAGATATAATATCTTTTATAAGAGAGACGAAGATATTATATTTATAAACTAGTAAGTTTATCTCTCTAATTTAATCTCTAGCGAAGATTTTACTAATTACTTACCTTCTCTAATTCCGATAGACCCTTCTTAGAAAACTACCGACGATAATACTAATAATAGTACTAATAAGCCAGACTACGTAAGAAAGATAGGTAAAGTTAGTTAGCTATCTATTAAAATATAACCTAATATCGCTATAACTATCTCTAAATTATAATAATAAACTAGTTCCCTACTGTGAGTAGGCTATGAAATGATTAGCGTATAGGAAGCTTATAGGTATACTTAACCTTCGTGTATAGCTATATGATATAGCTATATAGGATAGTATAGGTAGGTAGGTGAAATGGATAGTTGCCTAAATAGGTAAGTGAAGTGGTACACAGATTAAAAGAATAAATTAAGACTTAGGATTTAAAACTGTTTAATAGGAATTCACGGTCCTTTTTATAATTTAAAAAACGGGATAGTCTGGCAGATTTATCTGATTCTACTAGATTCTATATGACCTAGTTTAATCATATGATACCTAGTCTTGAGATCTTCTAGAAGTATATTAGGAGTTCTGTTTAGACCGGTCCTTATAGGGTAATCTCTATCTATATTAATACCTACGAAAAGAAGATATCTATATATATAAAGATCTTCTCTATTATCTCTCTATAATAATTAACCTTAGTATCCCTTTTAGAAGAGATCCTACTAAAGGCCTCAAAGGTTTTATAGATTCCTTATACGCTAATACTAAATATAGAAAATCTACTAAAGGATATATTTAGTTCTTTATAGACGTACTAATTATATAGTTATCTCGAAGATAAGATATTATTACTACTTCTTTAACTATAGCGGAATACTATATATTAAGTACTACTATTAAAGATAGTCTTTTACTAGTAAAGTTAGCGAGCGAATTAATACTAATATCCCTATTAACTAAGGATAATTTAAATATCCCTTTACTATTATATTACGATTCGGATAACGTTATTAAAACTATTACTAATAGTAAACTTAGTAATATAGTATTATAGATTAGTATAAGATACTATTTAGTACGCGACCTAGTTAAACGAAACTAAATTATATTAATTAATATTACTAGTAAAGATAATCCTATAAATATTTTAACGAAATCTAAGCCGCGAGAGGTTTTCTAAGCTAACCGAGAGAGATTATTAATAATAAGAAGATCTCCGAGTTAACTTCTACTAGAAGTGTATTTTATATTAAATTAAGATTAATAATATAAGTATAAAGAGTATAGGAAAATATATTTCCTTCTAACGAGATTAATAATTTTTATAGCCTTATTTAAATACGTTCTACTATTAATATATATTAAAAGATATATTTTCCTATACTCTTTATACTTATATTATTATTATTTAATTATTACTAAAGACTAATTTTTATAAGTATATTTATAGATTTTATAATCTCGCTAAATTACGATTTTAAAGTTAATATATCTAACTAAATTAATATTTTTAATAATCTTCCTATATTATTTCCTACTATTATTATATATTAAACGATATAGTTTCTTACCCTATTTTACTTTATATTATTATTACTAAGATTGTATTTATAATTAGCTTATACGAGATTGATTTTAATATTTTTTATTAGCTTAGTCCTACGGGGGATATAATAACTCGACCCTATTAACCTCGACTACTCAGTCGTTTAGTTATGCGTCCTCCCGTTTACACCTATATAGATTACTCCATAGGTTTAATAGTTCTTTCTGGGACTAGCGCTTCTTTATCTTATAGACCTATTTAGGTCTTTCTCTTTTCCCTTTCCTTCTTCTTCTCTAGATCCATCTTCATCATCATGTCTAGATAGAGATAATCGATTCAGATCTCCTTTTCCTGCTTCCTTGCGCTGGTGTCGATGATACTATCAAGAAATATATTTATAGTTTTCTTCTCTCACTCGATATCTCTTAAGTTGCTTTATATTATTAGCTATACACTCTTAGGATTCTTCGTCCTATATTACTCTTATATAATTTAGTTTTACTAATTGGCTGCTACTTTTGGCGTCAGTCGACGTCGGCCGTCGCTTGGTAACACGTGATCTCGATATTTCGACACGCCTCTATCCCGCTACCACCACGCACCGGCCAGATCCACTCGTATAGCCCGAGCTTTAGTGATTAATTCTATTTAGAGACTCCTCATCTACAACCCTCCCTCGCCCCATTTTTGACCACGCAGTAGCCGCATGATAACACCCTTTTACCTTCGGTGTTACCCACTCATAGCCCTTGAAGAACCACGCAAATACGTGCTTAATCGCCTGTGCAAACATGTCCAACACAACCTCCACATACGTATCCGGAACGAGCTTCAATACCGCCGCCCACGGAACACAAAACACTGCAAACCCAAGTGAGACCCCCCACTGCCAACCAGAAAGCCTAGTTACACCAAATGCCGTGCCGCTGACAAAAATAATCAATATCTGACCGCCGATCATAACGAGGTTAATCACGAGGAACCATTTATTCTTGTGTATGCCCTCGAATATGTTGAATTTGTTGTCGAGCCGCCGACAGTTGAACTCGTTGAAGATTTGCATCCAGACAAAGGTGTTGAAAATCATTGTGTTTAGCTCGAGCATCTCGGCTTCGTCGGATTTGTCGAAGTAGAAGAGCGAGTGGCCGGCGAAGTACAGCGTAAAACAGGTGGCAAGCTTGTAAATGGACTGGCCGAGAATCATCTTCCACATTATCACAGTGAAGAGAGGGGCACTGCGGGGAGTTGGAGGACGACTGAGGACGTCGGGTGTTGGAGGATCGGTTGCCCTTTCTTGGTTAGTTCATTAACATCCCAATTGAAGATGACAGGGGCGTACAGAGCTAGTGCGGCGAACGTATCCATGATGAGATTCAGCCAAAGCAGTTGCACGGCTTTGAACACGCTCTCGTTCTTGCTACTGTAGATCGCCGTCACAACTGTAAGAACGACGGCGGTTATATTGACCGTGATTTGGAACTGTCTAGTCAGCATTTATCCTGATATTTCAATTGTACATGGACGCTTACCTGTAAAAACTTGGCCACAGCATCATTCACAGCCCTTCCCCATGCAATTGCTGTAATAATAGAGCTGAAGTTATCATCTAGAAGAATGATCGAGCTCGCCTCCCTAGCAACTTCAGTCCCACTTAGTCCCATCGAGAATCCCACGTCCGCAGCTTTCAGCGCCGGGCCGTCATTCGTCCCGTCCCCAGTCACAGCGACGATCTCCCCAAGGCGCTTAAGCTGTTTTACTAGAAGCTCCTTGTCATCCGGGGAGGATCGCGCGAGAACTTGCAATTTTGGGATGACAATAGTCAGCTCATTCTCTCCTAGCTTCCGCAGTTCAGGCCCCTCCATCGCGATGCCGTCATTCGTCTTGATACCGCATGCTTCGGCAATTGCGAGTGCCGTGTGTATGTTGTCGCCTGTGCTTGTCAAAGCCTGCACGGCCATACCCTGTAAAAATCAGAGAACGAACCTGTAACCATTTTAACTTGAATTCCAGCCGCACGGCACGTCTGAATTGCTTCGGGGACCTCGGGTCTTAGCGGGTCGTGAATTCCGAAGGCTCCGATCCAGGTCATGTCATGGAAAAGTTCATCGAGAGTGGGCTGGTGTTTCTGAAGGGCTGATGGCCAGGTTGGGAGATCTCTATAAGCTAGTCCTATTGTTCGAAGCGAGGCTCGGGCATAGGCGTCTATCCTCCCTGATATCAAGCACCGGTCATCTGGGGAGATATCACACACAGGTAAAATCTCCCCCTCCGGGCTTGATGAGACCATTTGAGTGGAAGCAGAGAGAAGAATCTCGGATGCGCCCTTAACGAGGAATCGATATCCGAGTCCCGTTGGTCTAGCATATACCACTGCCATTGTCTTGCGTGCCGAGTCAAAGGGATAGACGTGTTCAATGTGGTTGTTTGTCCTTGTTTCAGAAAAGTTCATCCCGAGGCTCTGATGTGCGAACTGGAGAAGGGCGACCTCCGTCTTATTTCCGATGAACTTCTTATCCTCACCTTGTTGTTCTTCGAAAGCGGTTGTATTGAGTGCCAGACTATGAAGAAGTAGCTCTTCAAACGATGACGAGAACTTCTCCAAGGTCTCCGATATCGAGATAAGTAATCCAGCAGTGCTTGAAGGGATTGTACCGAAAGGCTGACTGGGGCCGAAGAATCCCGAGACTACAGACATTTTGTTTTGCGTTAAGGTCCCTGTTTTATCAGAACATACCACGGTCGCGTTGCCCATTGTCTCGCAGGCCCTTAATAGTCGAACAAGGTTATTCTCTTTCAGCATCCGGCCAGTTGCAAAAGCTAGTGCTAGAGTCACGGCAAGTGGTAGGCCCTCTAGTCATTGATTAATAACAGAAGCCACAAACGCATGGAAAACGGAAAACTCCTACCAGGAATTGCCACTACAATAACCGTGACAGTAACTATCAATATATCCATGAAGTGCTGTCCCTTTACGGCCGGCGTCTCTTCGTTCGCCGACATCTGTACCAGAAAACGGACAAACAGGACAAAGAACAACAACAAAGCGGACCTATAACGTCAGAGACGTTAGTACTACTACGTTATTCACATGGCAAGGGGGGAAGGTGATACCCAAGCCCAAACCACCCAATCCAACTCGCTAACCGCGCAAGCTTCACCTGCAACGGTGTCGGATCTGTCTCGGTCCCTAGAGAGACCATGATTCGGCCATACGTTGAATGTGGCCCGACACTGGTAACCAGGTACGTCCCTATACCCTCGAGAATGTTGCTCCCAGATATGATGAAGGGGTCAATATCATGCTCTGACCCACTAGTTGCCCGACTGTCCCAAGCTTTGAACCCACTACACTTCTCGACATGATCGGACTCGCCTGTGGCAAGGGACTCGTCACATTTGATCTCCTGGCTTGTTATTACAATTCCATCCGCAGGAGCTGCGTCACCCGCTTCTAGACACACGACATCGCCAACAGTGAGATCACTGATGCGCATCCGAATCGTCTTCCCGGAGCGGATAGCCTTAACTTCGCGGTCAAGTTTCTAGCAGAAAATGTTATTCCAATTTACATCACTATTTGGGTATGGTGAAATACTAACGCGCTCGTTCAACTTCCCGAATTGCCTCTGTTTCTGCCAATCATTCCCCGCTGTTACAGAAACCACAATCAGGATAGCAACGCAGACTGCCACCCCCTCGACCCAGTCCACCTGCGACTGCCCGGACACAGCTTCATATATACCCAGGGATAGCGACACAATCGCGGCGATGGTAAGCAGGATAATGAGTTTATCGTTGTATGCATCCCAAAGAAGTTTAAAAAACGTTTTGTGCGACGCTTGAGGGAGTGCATTCGTGCCGAAGACCCGATATCGTTCCGCGATTTGAGATACAATCTGAGCGGTTTCAACCGGTGGAATTAAATATTTTGATGAGTGCGATAGGGTCCCATTCGTCTGTGAGGAGGCAACCTGTCTCGCTTCATTGAAGGTTGTATACCGAGCTAGGATCCTTTCATCTGCCGATAACCCAGCGCTAAGATCTGTTTGCAGTCCATATTCTAGACCATGCAGACCACCCAAGGCGTAGAAAGCGGCAAGGGACTTCGGGTTGAACAGTTTGTTCAACTGGCCCGGGGAGAAGGCAAACTTGTTATCGGGGACGCAAAAGTCCGCTTCAAAGCGAGGTTCCGCAGTGAGAGCGTCAGACCAGGATTCGCTTTTGTCTTTGGCTGACATTGACGCTATGAGGATGTACAATATTTATGCATGGAGTCGCTTATAGGTTCTTTATCGACTTACCTTCGATGAAACAAGGAGTTGAGCTATATATTGGATCAACCTCGATATATTGCCTAGTTCATCGGTTTCCGTAATCAGGATCGAGGCTGTGTCAAATTCCGCATGACCTGGAAATCCCCCAAAACCAATACCACCATGGCAGCATATTGGACAATAATGGATGTGCCTAGAAAGCCAGCAGTAGACCCCATCAGATCAGATAGGTTGTGTCATTTTTCATGACGACTTGATCGGATATGTTTTCGGGCCCTTTGCACTGCCTCGCTTGGCATCCAGCTGCTAGCGTTCCACGGTTGAAGTGGCAATATAGAACGTGGGTTTGCCAGTGGAATGTGTGGATATGAGAGAGTCAGCCTTTGGAACAGGTACGATTAAGGTTTATCCCGAGAGGCGTAGCAAGTTCTAGTTCTATCAGACTATGTTCTCGGGTTTGATCTATGCAGCGTCTACAACGCCCTATTGTAATTTTATTTTTTCCCTTTCTCGCGAACAAAATAAAGGCAGGCTTAACTATAGAAGCACGTGACCGTATCGAGTAACGTAATTCCCGGCCGACCGAGACCCTCTCCCCCATCAGAATACTTCAAAAACGATTATCTCAACCAACTCCTATTAATTCAACTAAATATAGCGATTTTTACATACATTGATCCTGTGACCAATTTCCCTGCACCCACTACATCCAGGCGGGGCCCTAGCTACTGGCCTAGTTAGCTAACTGGGTAATTCAAACTCGATATGCGAATCTACCCTATCATCTTCCTCTAGCTAGTTTAGCTGCTTGGCTAGCTATATAGCCTCTTTAATAGTTAAACCCTCTACGTAGGGTATCCTTCTAGTTAACCGATTACGTTTTTTAATTATCTTCTTATTTACTACACGTAAATTCGCGTTATCCTCTACGAGTAATATAGTATTATAAAGCGAGAGATAGTAGCCCTTAATAAGTTAATCTAAGATAGCTTTCGATAGACTTGGAGGGCTATTTAATCGTTACTTTAGTAGATCTTTTAGTATTAAAGCTTATTTAAATAGCTAAGTAACGGTTCTAGGCGTTTTTAGTATAAATTAGCTAGATCTACTACTTAGCCGGTTACTTAGAGGCAACGGAGTTCGTAGAGAGATATTAAGCTTATTAAGTACTCTCTTAGTATCTAATAGTACTAGACTACTAGCTAAGAAGCTATTTTTAATAGTAAGATTAGTTAATTAGAAGGCTTCTAGCTATACGTACTAGTAATCTACTAAGAAATCGTACTTATCGATATAGTTATGTCCTCTACGCGTAAGATCGCTAATAAAGTAACTATATACGCGCTTAATCACTATAAAATATCTAATATCTAGTAGTTATATAAATAAGCCAGGGTATGATTAGCGTATAGGAAGCTTGTGGGTATACTTAACCTTTGTGTATAGCTATATAATATAGCTATATAGGATAGGATAGGTAGGTAGGATAGGTAGGGTAGGTAGGTAGTAGATAGTGTAGGTAGATAGGTGAAATAGATACCTAAATAGGTAAGTGAAGTAGTAGGCAGATGGAAAGAATAAATTAAGACTTAGAATTCAAAACTATTTAAGAGGGATTCTTAGTCCTTGTTATAATTTAAAAGACGGGATAGTCTGGCAGATTCATCTAGTTCTACTAGATTCTATATAACCTAGTTCTAATATTATATTAATCATATAATACCTAGTCTTGATATCATAGGTATCTAGTAGATTCTATATAATCTAGTCTTGATATTATAAACATCTAGAGATTTCTAGTAGATTCTATAAGACCTAGAAGATCCTATATATTCTAGAAGTGCTCTGGAAGTCTTATTTAGACTGGTCCTTATAGGGTGATTTCTATCTGTATTAATAAGTAGGAAGGAAGCTAGACCGATTATCGCTAAATTTATATTAAACGCGGGTCTTCTTAGCTAGTTTCTCGAGGTTAATCCTCTAGTAACTAGTCTTAAGGGGCCCGAAGAAGATCGAGACGAAGCCGCTACCGACTAAGGCGAAAGAGAAGAAGGAGACGATCGCTAATCTCTTAGTTTCGCCTTACCTAATAACGAAGAACCCCTTACCTAGGGATAGTAGGAGTAGGATCCCGATAACTCTTATAACTTAAGGGCTAGTGCCAGGTCCACTAGTCCTCCTTAACTTCTATTATATATATAATAGCGGCTAGGGCCGATGTTATGATATCCTGATATTGAGGTTATTCGCAGACTGATGCCCCAGGCCGCACGAGGCCCGGGCGTTCTGCCAAGAGGGTGCCGACCCGGCGGTCAGTCGACAGCTCCTCGGTGGCGTATCTAAAGGGCTACCCTATCGGTAGGCCACGTTGGCTGGTTACACAACCTTTCAGCTCATGCACGCTCATACCGTGGTTACCCCTCTTCTAGTTCCCTGTTTTGTATGAGAGACTGTATATAAATTTGGGACCTTGAGGAGTAGGTTCAGACTCCTCAAGAAACAGTCTTGCCACGAATTTCACTAGGTGCTTCCAACCTTACCTGATCAACAGGTTTTCTACCCTGCAAGTAGTTATCTTTACAATTCTGTTTCTTCCTCTTTGATCACCTAAGGAAGGATGTCACCTCGAACTCGTTCGACGCCCGCCGGCGAAACAGAGCCGAATCTCCCACGGACTATCGAAGATTCGCAGACTGTTATCGAGGGAACCCCTTCTAACGAGGACGTTGACGCAGCGCTCGCGGCGATTCAGGAACGCGTTAGAAAGCTCCAAAAATCAAGGAGCTTAACGAGTAAGCTACGAACCTCATGTCAGCCCTCGGCGAATCTATGCCGGATACCCACCGAGGACAAAGCGAATCTCCTGATTGGCACAAGGAAATCAAATTCGAAAACGTGCCAACCTTCGAACTCGAATACAACCTTTAGAAGCGGCATGAGTGGCTCCTCGACCTACAACAGATGTTCGTAGGAGCCCCAAAGAAATACTATAGCGACGAAAGAAAGATCATCGGCGCTGTATGCCATATGTGCCAAACCTATAGGCAGAGGTGGTACCGAACCTGTACCGAAAAAAGGGAGGTTAAACGCCGAAACGTCACCAATGACTGGCTCTTCTTCCAGGAGTGGACCCTAAGCCTTATCAAAAACGCGTCTAGTCTCATAATGGCTATCGCAAAGGAAAAGGAAAATATCCACCAGAGAAAGGACGAGGACCCTAGAGAGTTCCACGCCCGTCTCGATACCCTTGAGTAGTACTTTGAGAGAGCGAGTGAGAAAGAAAGGGCCCGATCCTTCTTCGTTAAACTACAACACTCCCTTCAGCTTCGAATCCAGGACCATGTACGAGAACTTCCCGAGACACGTGAGGAAGTTGTCAACACGGCAAACTATTACTGGGACCTCATGAAAACAAATTCGGACCGGGGAAACACAAACGAAACCAAGCCGAATCATCTCCGAAAGCGTAAGGCTCCTCCGGATGAACCCCAGGGACCGGAAAAGAAAACCTACAAGAACCGTCAAAACAATCGGAGACGTCAAGAGTCCTCAACGAACAACAACCTAAACCCTATCGGAAGGGATAGAAAACGCAATGTGTGCCACATCTGCGGAAGCGATACGCATTACTCTCCTGACTACCCCGACCGAAAGGACCCTAAGGAAAAGCCAAAGGTCCAGATAGCAACAACCGCGGGAAACGACAGCGAGACGGAGTAGATCCCCATTCTTCGTCTCAAAAGCCTACCGTGGGGACCAGAACTCGTTTCTATATACCGATTACCATCCGAAACACTCTCGAAACCCATGCGGATCTTGACAGTGGAGCTGAAGTTGACCTCGTTAGCTTCGAATTCGTCAGGAAGTATAGGCTCCAGCCAGCAAAGCTTACCGAACCGATAATCCGCGCAATTAACCGACGAAACACTCCGACATATAGTGTGTGGTCAGTCCCCCTAAAGGCTACCGATTCTCGAGGGATTACCCGCCGATTCACACGCCCTTATATCGCTATTAATCGCGACCCCCGCCTTACTGGTAGTCCAGTACTCCTCTCAATGACGACAATACACGACGAGGATATATATCTCGCGGGCCGCCTTAGGCGATGGTGGTTCGGGAACGGATCCTTTGAAGTTTTAACACCGAAACGCTTCGCGAGGGCCGCACAAAGGCATGCGTACGTCTTCGCCGTGGTAAAAATGCCTAAGGAAATATGGCTGCCAGTCGATGGAAACGATACCGAACCTCCGTCGAAACCTTATCTACAATATCCCGAACTAGAACCCTTCCACGAATTCTTCTCCTCTGAAAACACACAAGCACTACCCCCTTCAAGTACACACGACCACGCCATCGACCTACTCTCCGACACCTAGGTGCCCTTTGGACCAATCTACCCACTTTCTCAGAAAGAACTTACTGAACTACGCCGTTACCTCGACGAAAACCTTAAGAATGGTCGTATCCGCGAATCAAAGAGTCCCGCCGGAGCCCCAATCCTCTTCGTTCCAAAATCGGACGGAAGTCTACGCCTTTGTGTTGACTACCGGGGACTCAACAAGGTTTCGGTGAAGAACCGGTACCCTTTACCCTTGATTTCGGAGATCCTTGACCGTCTCTCGGGTGCAAAATATTTCAGCAAGATCGATATCAAAGATGCTTACTACCGCATCCGCATAAAGGAGGGCGATGAGTGGAAGACTGCCTTCCGAACCCGATACAGCCACTACGAATACACCGTTATGCCCTTCGGCCTAACTAATGCACCCGCAACTTTCCAAAATTACATTCATACCGCCCTTCACGACGTTCTCGATATCTTTGCGGTAGCGTATCTTGACGATGTCCTTATCTTTTCGACCGACCGCCAATCCCATACAGAACACCTACACCAGGTTATCTCCCGTCTCCAAAAGGCAGGACTATATGCAAAACCTAGCAAGTGCCTCTTCTACCAGGACGAGGTCGAATTCCTTGGATTTATCATCTCTACCCAAGGCGTTTCGATGGACCCTCAGCGGGTATCCGATATCGTTTCGTGGGAGCTTCCACGAACATACCGAGATATCCAGGTCTTCCTAGGATTTTGCAACTTCTACCGGCGCTTCATCCGTAACTACTCCGAGATTGCACTTCCCCTAACGGCCTTGCTAAAGGGAAGTAAGAACGGCCGAAAACCAGGGAGTGTGAAGCTAGACCTTCGCGAAAAGCTAGCGTTCCGCCGCCTAATCGCTGCCTTCCAGTCAGCTCCCCTTCTTCGCCATTTCGACCCTTCGAGGCAAATTCGGATCGAGACCGATGCGTCAAACGGTGCGATGGCTGGGATCCTCTCCCAACCAGATGATAATGAAGTCTGGCACCCAGTGGCCTTCTGGTCGAGGAAATTCACCGAGGCAGAGGTCAACTATGGAACGCCGGATCAGGAGCTATTCGCTATCGTATACTCGTTTAAACACTGGCGACACTACCTTAAGGGAAGTACACATCCAATCGAGGTCTTTTCAGATCACTCAAACCTCCAATCCTTTATGAAGCAGCCAAAGCTAAATGGTAGACAGGCGAGATGGTGCCTATCTCTTACACCTTTTGATTTTATTATCAAACATCGCGCTAGGAAGACCAACCCTACGGATGGACCATCTAGGCGTTGGCTGCCTGAAGCCCCCAAGGTTGACCTGATTACGCCGTTGTGCCAACGAATGGCCGGCGAATCGCAGGCGACTGATCACCGCTCTGTCAGGGTCCAGTCGCTGACTGTGAGAGATCTCACTTTGGGCATCCCCTGTTTCGAAGAAAACGAGCAGGGTGATGAATCGATTGGAAGAATCGATTAGGAGGAGCTAGGCCGTTCGCGGTTAGTCCTCCCTGCGTAAGTGCAGACCGCTTGTGCTTCCGAGAAGGCCTACTCCGCTGAAGCGTGTGAGGACCTAAAGGAATTGATCGGGCGTCTTCAAGACGAAGACCTCGAGACCCAGCGCCGAAAAGCTGCCGTAGAGCAGGCGAAACGCGGTTTCATGGGCTGGAAGATCGGACACGATAAGCTCCTCCGATATAAAGACCGAGTGTATGTCCCTGCGGGGAGTAACCTACGGCAAGAGTTAGTGAGCATTCACCACGACGACCCTATTGCAGGCCATTTCGGCCGAACCAGGACCCTTGAACTGGTTAAACGTAAATATCACTGGCCGAATCTGCACCGAGACGTTATCGAATACGTGCAGAATTGCCAGGTATGTCAAGGAGTAGTAGCACGAAGGCATAAGCCCTACGGCGAATTGTAACCACTCCCTATCCCGTCTAGACCCTTCGTGGAAATTTCAATGGACTTTGTGACTGGCCTGCCACCGGTGACCCTTAACGAAAAGACTGTGGATGCAATCCTTGTTATCGTCGATAGGTTCACGAAATGGTCGCTATTCCTCCCCGTATCTACCACGATCACGGCGGGAGAACTCGCAGAACTAGTCCATAACGAGGTCGAATTACGTTTCGGCCCTCCCGACGGGATTGTTTCCGATCGAGGATCAGTTTTCACAAGCAAGTTCTGGTCAAAGCTATGTTACATTACCCAAGTGCGCCTAAGGCTTTCAACGGCGTTTCACCCCCAAACCGATGGCCAAACGGAACGCGTTAACCAAACACTTGAGCACTACCTACGATGTTTCATCGGTGACGAACAGCCTAGCTAGCCAAAGCTGCTCAAATCTGCCGAATTTGCGTGTAATAACGCTATCAATGCCACAACCGGTGTCTCACCCTTTCAAGCACTTCTTGGTTACTCACCAGACTTCCGTCAACGAATCGAGGACGATCCGGCATTGAGGGAGGTACCCGCGGTATCCGCACGAGTAGAGAAGCTTGAAAAACTCCGCATAAAGCTGAAGACCCACTAGCGAAATGCAGTCGAAACTATAGCGAAACACTATAATAAGAATCACAAACCCCTGACACTGAAGAAAGGATCGCTCGTCGGCCTCTCAACAAAGAACTTGAAGCTAAAGGGAAGCAAGAAGTTAACCCCGCGCTTCATCGGGCCCTTCCGGGTTATTGAGACGATTGGTCAGCAGGCCTACCGCCTAAGTCTACCCGAACAATACAGCCGAATCCACAACGTCTTTCATATATCCCTTCTTAAACCATGGCAGAAGACCCACATTACTACTACCGAATCAATACCGTTACCACAGCTCGAGGATAGCGAAGAATACGAGGTAGAGGAGGTCCGCGATGAACGAAAGATCTCTAACGAAACCCACTTCCTCGTGAAATAGAAAGGATGGCCCTCTGAATACAACCAATGGGTATCCCACGAAGATATAGAGAACGCTACAGAAGTAATACAATCCTATAGGAAGCGACAAAAGGGGAAACGCTCTGAATTCAATACCGGAAGAAACCAGCGAAAACCCCTCGAACCGCAGACTAAAACAAGAAGATTTCCTCGCAATAAGAAACTATAAGGTCAGCCACGAAGCTAGGTTCCACCGGAAACAAGACGCGAGCGTCAAACATCAGCACCCACAGCAACAAAGCCGCCACCAAGGAACGCAACGAACCACCAGCGAAACCATAACGAAACTACCTAGCCTCGCTAGGTAAAGGAAGGGCAAAAGGCAACTCTAGATCCGCTCCAGGGACAGAGGGAAATCAATCATTATCCGCTCCTCCAACTCATCTCCGCCGATGGAGGCATTATCATCCGCATCCGAATCAAGGTCATCCTAGGCCTCGCGAACCGCCTCCGAAATGCCATCGAAAAAGGCCCGTTTTCCGATTGTCCAAGTGATGTATCCCTCGTCGCCGGGAAGCAGGCGAAGGAGTCGCTTAGAGAAGCGCTCTGCCTTCTCCCTAGCAGTATCAAAGGGACCAGGGGGCAGGACAACAGGAAGCCCAGTCCTACGGACCGCGAGAAGCGCATCGTATTCGTCTTGGGTTTGCTACCGAAACACTAGTTAGAACGCGCCGAAACCCGCGACCTATAGATCCTACCTTGATATTAGTCTTAGTCCCGGTTAACTTGTACTGCTTACGGTGAGCCTGCTCCGAAACGTCGAAGCAATGCGCCAGATCCCTCATCAATTCGGCGACCTTTCGGCGGAGCTCCGAGGGATAGGGCCAGTCCAGGAAATTATCCGGGTCGTCCGGGTCTATCTACGATGTCCAGAACAGGTCCCGGGCCCATACAAACGCGGTACTCATATCCTGACAATCCCCCAACATAGCGGTTACAGCCTGTGGAATCATTAGCCTATACCCTCAAGGAAACTTGGCGAAACCCACAGGAATACACGTCGAAGCGCGAGAGGAACACTGGCTACACGCAACCGAAGCCTTGGCGTCCTAGACACATTCGATGGAAAAGGGCCAGTCTTCACGGGGATCCCAGTCGATAATCGCGGTGCGGACACAGTGCATACACCAGAGGATCATCAGGTAGACCGGGTTATCCGCAAGGGGACGAGTCCCGGCGCGGGGTCGTCGAGGCATCGTGGGGGTTTCCAAACCAAATCGAGGGGTATTCGTTGGCGAAAAGGCGCGTGGTTATGAGGTCTTGGAAAGGGGGAGAAAGTTGGTAGAGGTGTGAAAGAGGAAGGGGAACGAGAAGGAGAGGGGGTCTCTTTGTAAACAAAGAAACGCGATATCTTTGTTTGCCCTATCCCACCAGTTACCCTTTCTGCCTATCCACCTCTGATTGGCTACTCCGCTACGTGGTTGGT